TTTTAACATTTCTAGTCCACCATGGACAAATACAACACTCCGGAAATGATGTAAGATCTAGATATTCCATTAAGGAAAACATATGGTTGCATGGTGTTCCTTTTGTTTCTAGTTGTAAGCATTCACATGTTAACTTAACTAACTTTCCAGTTTCCTATTTACAACAAACTATTGTGCGCACCTCTGGATTTGAGTCAATTGTGATAATAAAGTCGTGAAGTCCATCAACAATGTTGTGCTCTACGATACAATATTTTTTTCCTTTTTGCATGTCAATTTGAATTAGATCAAAAATAGCAGGTGTATAAACATCAGCAACATATAACTCTAATTTTCTTGTACAAGTTCTCAGATATGGAATAAATTGGGAGGCTTTAGAGTCATCTGCTGCCTCGTTTCGACGAGCACCTGAAATATATCTATCATAGTGATGAATCATATCAACAAGAGTCATGCCATAGTTGGGATATTTGTGCAGAATAGAATTTATACTTTCACTGCGTTGTGTACTTCTAAGACCTAAGAAAGTATGCCCATGTAAGTAGGTAGCAACCCATAAATATTTTTTTCATACATTCTTAGTAACCATTTTTTCTCTTTATTACCTATCTTATTAGCAAGAAGCTCTTTCCACTTATTTTCAAACACTTCAGCTGTATATTTTCTTGAAATAAGGTATTGGAAGACAGCTCTAACCAAACGATTTCTTATATTGTCATATAAGTTTTTTCCTGTATGCCAAAAACACAGCTAATGCTTTACGCCTGGAAACTTTGTAATAATAGCTTCACGCATGGCACTATCATCATCGGTAATGACAAACAAAGGTTCTTTTTGACACATCGTCATCTTAAATGCCTTCAACAACCAAATGTAGCTCTCAGTTGTTTCATTACAAACTACTCAGCATCTAAATATTATGTTCTCCGGTGATGGTTTAAACCAATAAATGGTATGAAAGGCATGACATATTTGTTTGTTCAATAAGTACTGTCAAATAATAAAACATCATCAAAAGCTTCATAGTCAACTCTTGATTGAGAATCAGCCCAAAACAAATGTGTAAGATGGCATTCATCGTCAGTTTTATTCAAATAGAAAAAAAATCTACATATTTCCTTTTTCTTTGTTTCATCATATTCAATACAGTTTGTGCATCTCCCTATTCTATTATTCTTCATGATATTTTACCCCACTTATTATAAATATCTTTTCTAATAAAACCAACCTTCTCATAACCTCCGTCTCTAACTTATTATAAATATCTTTTCTAATAAAACCAACCTTCTCATAACCTCCGTCTCTATACTCCATAAAATCCATAATTTTATTTTTAATAAAACCAACCTTCTCATAACCTCCGTCTCTATACTCCATAAAATCCATAATTTTATTTTTAAGAATGTCACATTGTGCTACCATATGAATTTCTTCCATTTGTACATCATCAACTCTTCGTTGAGAGCGAAGAGAGGGAACTTCATCTGGGCCTACAAGCTCATGATTATGCATATCCCTTAAACTATAAACAAACCATCTCTGTGTTTCATTATCAAAAAAAAAAAAAAAAATCTCAAGACATGCATCACAATTGCATCTAGATAATGCCCGTTCTTTATATGTTCTATCTGTTCTATCCATATGCTTAGTTTCGCGAATTCCTTCTTTAAAGTAAACAAATTTGCGATAGTAAATATCTCACTTTATCCCTTCGAATGCTAAAACCCTTCAAATTGGCATATGAATTATAAAACTCATACCATTCATTTTCAGTGGTATAGGAATTCAGAATTATGTCCTCGTATTCCATTAAGGATGGGCCTTTCAGTGGTATAGGAATTCAGAATTATGTCCTCGTATTCCATTAAGGATGGGCCTCAGGATTCACCTGGCATGCATATTATTTAATAAGACATTAGTAAAAAAATTAGTCATACAGCACAATATTAACCCTATTAAATATTGTTCACTGATAGAGAACAATGTTCTAAAAACAAGGTTCTGAAATCATCTTCTAGAATTTATTTACATATATAAATAAATAAATTTCTAATCCACCAAAATTTAACAACAAATTTCATGCTAAATAACATTAACAGGTACTTTCTTGATCTTGTATAATTTCGGAGTTCCTCCATATCACTATGATTTCAGTTTTTATTCATCTAGCTTTTACTATTTCAATTGGTTAATTCGGAGTTCCTCCATATCACTATGATTTCAGTTTTTATTCATCTAGCTTTTACTATTTCAATTGGTTAACTTTATTCATTAGCCTGAAATTAATGTTTGCTAGCATCTTTCTTAGGGGTAATTGCACATAGGTCCCCTGTAGTATTATTGTTTTGAACTTACTATCCGTGTAGTTTCCTTGTTTGAGATTAGACCTTAAGTTAAATATTTTTTATACCTTTACCTTCGGATAGACCCACTAATTCAGTTAGAGGCGATATCTACCAAAATTTGACCAAGGGTAAAAGATTCAAAAAAATTTAACTCCGGAGTTTATCTGCGACTATGAAACTACAAGGGTTCTAGGTGCAAAACAACAAGAGTCTATGCGCAGTTAATTAACTCCTAGTTTTTATCTACCTAATTTGTATCACAATTGGTCAACTATTATTCTGAAGTTAAAGTGCTTTTACTTATTAATTTGATTGATAGCAATAGACTAACTTCTTAAGAATATTTCTTAACCTTGGGATAAAAGAATTCTTGAAGTCTTGATACTAGTTTTTGAACGTGGGTGATGTTTATATTTGAATAACTCAGCAGTTTAGTTTAAGGAGGCAACTAATCGGCGTAATGAATTTACTGTAATTGCTTATTTTATATTATGTCAGGCATTGCCTTTAACATCCTACTGTTGGAGTTCAAGTCTTGAATACAAAAGTACTAAACTAATTCTTCAAAGAAACTTTCAGGTTAAGGTTCTTGCAAGCAACATTGTTAATTGTTGGATGTCAGCATGATATATGTTTTAAGAGTTTTAGCAAAAAATTCCAAAGTGGCCGGTCAACCTCGCACCTAGCAAGATTTACTTTAGTTTCTTAATCTGTTATAATTTGGCAAAACATAGATTATTCCCTTATTTATCATTACTGTGCACAGAAATTTTCATTAAATTTTCATCATAATTCACTTAATGGACATTTAATTTTGCAAGAACACAATATCTATCTCCATCATCCTTGCTGTAATATTGTCGGCACTTTTATATTGTGATGCGGATCAAACGGAAAATTGCCACTATGAAGTTAATAAACAACATTAACCAATTTTTATCAACAACAATTAGAAGCTTGCATAAAGTTTGAATTTTACCCCAAATAACCCCTAAGTGCGCATACAAGACCAAACCAACAAAATAGACAGTTTTAGTATTGAAAAAGAATGTTCCTAATTTCGAATCGGTACCATTCCGAGATTAGCAAACAATATGTTATTAATTTTCCCACAATCAGAGAAAAAGTTAGGGTTCTAATGAGTGATTACATACCTTGATCCTGTTCAAACTTGCCGTGGCTAAGGAAGAGACTCCTCTCAGGGAGCGGAGAAAGAAAATAATTTCTCTATGCAAGGCAGAGCGAACACGAGCGTCGATGGCAGGAAAAAAAATTCGAGATTGAAAAAAAAGGCCTATTTTTGGAGCACCAAAGCAAACCTCTTATTAATTTTAATCATAGAGTTATCCTTTTATAAACGATCATATAGTTATTAGTAATATATAAAGCTTCATATATATAGAGTTCTTTTGTTACGTTTTTCTTTGATACATACATATATATAACCTTTAGACTGTACGTGTTTACGAGCCATAGATCTTGGTAAAAACAAAATCTATATATTGTGATAAAAAATTAAGAAGACGTAACTCATCTCAAAATCATTTTTGGTAGAACTATAGATTGTGTTAGAGATCGTTTATCATTAACCTTTGGTGATGGTTAATGGTATTAACTTTAGAATTCAGGTCCCATATAAACATCTAATTGAATAATTAATTAATAATAGAGAAGACATAAGAATTTGACAAATTGCAGAAAACACTGGAAAAGAAAGCTGAATATGTGTACAATTAAATAAGGAGAGAAAAAAAATGATGAATAAAATAAGGTAAAAGAAGAAAATTCTTACATAGGGCTTAAAAATATTGATAATAATAATAATAATAAGAAAGATGATTGAATAATTTCAGTACCAAAAATTAGAGTTTTAATTTAAATGTGAAACATTTGCTTATGATCGTAACAGATAGATTAATAGTCCAAGAAATATTTATTTAGGGTTTTACTTAATTAGTGAAAAGATCAGTAGTAGTTTTTAGGATAATTTAACCATACTTCTAAAGGATAAACAACAAATATATAAGGTTCCACTCAGCAAATACAATGTCATAGATCTCATAGCGGGAGTCTGTTGAAGATTGACATTAGCCATGAGGTTCACTCTGAATTGTTGATTGAGAAAACGAATTACTTAAAAAAATTGTTATTTCTTTTGCTAAGTCCAATACCAGTTTCAGCACAGTCAAAGAAGCTGTCTCAGATGGCTTATATATTGTTCATATCTAGCTCATCTTTATGTATACAGTTTTTATTATGGAATACTTTATATATATAGTCGAAGAAAAAGAAAAAAAAACTAGGGTTAGTCGCATTCACGAAGAAGAATACAGTAAATACAGACAAACATAAAGATGAGAATAAATCACATATATTAGAATATCTGAGATGCCTGAAAGAATCATACTTCGTGTGGGCAAGAAAACCCTCTTCTCACAACACAATCAGATAACACTCACTCCCAACAATCCGATCTGCAACAGAAGCGTCCCTAAAAATAAAGCTGTAGTTGCAGATAGACCGCTATAATATCGTCCATCGTCCTGTAGTTTTATTGTTGCAGATAGAACCCCCGAGAAAATTTTCCTTTCAGGGCGTATACCAGCATCAATATAACAAGCAGCAAGTTCAGCTTGGATGGTAAAACCCTGAAGATAAATAAATGCTCCCCCGCAGCACATAGCATTTGATTCACATTTAAGTAAAGATCTGTGAGTTTTCTCAAAAAAAAAGTAAAGATCTGTGATGAACTAAATGAACACTTTTAACACGAAATATAGTACTAAGACCGTTCGCAAGTCAGAACACTAAAGAACAACGGCAGGTCGAAACTAGTTAACTGTACTTCATCTCAAGAAATGGACTAATGTTCCTTGCAACATCCAACAGTCCACAGTCCACGGTATCAGAAACAGGCTAGAATATCCCTCATTGCTTGCAATCAACTCCAAAGCCCATCCGCCGCACCGTCGCCAAACCTGATCACAGGTTGGAATATGTTAAACTCTTAAATGAAAGCTTGTGATATTTTAGGTAAATAAGTGGGATTAAAATGGCATATATCCCATCAATGTTTATAAAGCATGAAATGGAATAATCACATAACATGTAGGATAACAATAATAAGGATATAAATAAAGCATACGAGTGGAATATACACACGCTTAAAAACATGGTTAATTTACTCAGTGGAATGCAGCAAGAGCATGTTTAGAGCTTTTTGCTAGGAATTAAGACTTAAGAGGCTGCCACATCAGCCCCCATTTCCCCCTAACAAATACAGAATTCGATGATACTGATGTAGCCTGACTGCTACAGTAGCTTCCCACCCATTAGGGTAGGGTTGTCAATTTTTGGCCCATACCCATTTACCCACCTGACCCGCCCATCATTTGGCCCGCCCAACGCCCACCCATTTAATTAAATGGGTCTAATTGGGCGGGTTCATTTTACATTATTCTAAATGGGCACTAAATGGGCAGTGTTTATTCGCCCGTTTGCCCGCCCACCGTATTCCCAAAACCAAAACAAAAGAAACCCGATCCCAAAATTCCCAATCTCCTCTTTCTCCTCTGCCTCGATCCTAATCTCCTCCGCCTCAATCCCGATCCCAATCTCCTCCGCCTCCTCCTCCGCCTCCTCCTCCTCCGCCGCCACCTCAAGTGCCTTTCGAACCCAAAACCTACGATATTATGATGAAAAGGTGAAACTATTGGGTTTGGTTCCTTTAGGGAGGGATTTGATGATTTAAGATAAATTTTAGGCTAATTGCAATGGGACATTGGTACCAGTCAATGCAGATTTCAGAAGAGAGACTATAGTTGTAGCTTTGTTTCTGACTTCATGTAACATAAAATATCAAGTATGAACTAAATAAATAAGCTCTAATATTTATAGTTAGAATGTTATGGACACTCCTATTCAATTTCATGATAAGTGAAACTTGTTGGTTACGGTGCCTGTGAAAAGGAAAGGATGCATGATCAAAGTGGTCTTTCTTTTCAGGAAATATGATTATCCTAGGAAATCTATGGTTTGAAGTGGAAATATTGTCTTTTTTTCCCCTCTACATTTCAAGGGTGTTCATGTTTTGAGGGGATAATATTAACTGACCTTGCCATCTCGGTGAGGTCATTTTATTGAAGACATCATCCACTTTCTATATGTTGTCAATAGAATAACAAGGTTTCCCAAGTATTGACTAAAAGGGCTAAATTGCTTCTTATCAATTTTAACATGAAAAGTTGTGAGTCTGTTTGTAGATATCCTTGATTCGTCTTCCATGCAAGTCAAAACTAAAAGAAGTAGCTTTTCTTGCCGCTATATTGAACCTTGGTCTTCCAAAGGTGGCCATTTTAGTGAGAGAGATTCGAGTCATTAATTAGAACTTAGAAGCATATACTTCCTTTTCTTTTGCCTCAGGCAACTCGCTATAGAATATCATACTCATATCCTTTTAGTGTGTAAGGGGAATTTGGAGGGTTCTCAGTTATACATGAGCTTGAGTTGGGTGACCAAAGAGTAGATTTTTCAATACAGCATTCTAACTCATGGTTATCCTGCCTAGGATTTGGATCACACTCCATGGATTTGGTTTCGATATCAGTTAGTATCCTACTTCTGCCAAACACTTGCTACATAACAGAGACTTGCTGAGTGAATTCATTACTGTTATTCATGCATATCAAACACTTGCTACATAATCGATGTGTATGTGAATTAAATGCTGCATTGTTGTTGTTGTTATTGTTTTCCCTGTTTTGTTGTTAGAAGCATTTTCGCACAAAAAATCAAATACAGACGTAGATAAATATGTGCATATACATAAAATTTACATACACTCGTGAATTAACTGCTGGGGTAGTCTTTTTTGGGCTTATATGTCCCCGTTGATTACCATTTGCCTATGCCATTGCATGGCTGCTCAAATACTTATCGTCATAGTTTTTTCATTTCTTAATACATATATAGATCTATTTGCATGTTGAGTCAATTTATATTCCACTTTATTATGTGTTTACTACCAAAATTGATGTGCTATTAAATTATTTTTTTCAGCGATCATGTCTTTAAATGATCAATTTAGCATCCATGATGATGGTAGTGATGATGAGAGTACTTCTAAACGTAAAAGAAGACAAACATCAAAAGTTTGGGATCACTTTACGCTAAGGTAGTTCTGCAGCAAAAGGAGCATTTTTGTGTTGTCTTTTGTTGTTCAAGTGTTTCTGTGGAAAAAGGCGTGAAAGCGTTTTCTTCCATTGTGTTCAGTGTAGTCGTATAAAGTAATTATGAAAGGAGGCACTTGACATGGATATCAGGAGTTGCATCAGAGGACATGAAACATGAAAATAAAAAGTTTACGCAAGGATAAAGCTAGTAGTAGTCTATAACAAGTTTAGGTTGAATTCCTCTTAGTGAGCTAATTCTTTTTTATGATTAGCCTGAGCATTTATGTTTTTTTTTTCACAAATTTGTGGTCTACCTTCAGGAGCAAGAGTGGCTTTTTCTCCTTCTCTATTCTCTTCTGTAGTGGACAATCTAGTGGTCCCTCCTGGGGTAATGCAAGGGTTGGTGCTCCTGTTTGGACAGTTTGATATATTGGTAATAAATGGATGATAGAACTTGATTTGCTACACATAAATTGCTCCCTTTGAACCAGCATTCCTAGTATATTGCTGATATGCTTAGACAAAATACCAGCATTCCTAGTATATTGTTGTGCATTCTGACATTTACTGCTTGAGCAGAGTATGGAAAGGCAAAATTATATGCTTAGACAAAAGTTTTTCCTTGTATGTAGTAATCTTTTGCTTATCGTTTATTTGCTGGGTATTGAATTCTATACTTTCGCTTTGTTTTTCAGATTAACTGAAGATGAAGAATTTAAAAGAGTGGTTTTCCTATGAGCTATTGTCTAAATCATTACTATCTGCAAGGCCTTTCAGCTTCTTTTATGAGGAATCACTGGATGGTGAACTTGGCAACCGAGGTTCGGCCTTATTTTATGCTGTATTAAGTCATATAATCCTTTTGCTGTTAGATTTTCAAACTACTTGAACTGAGTGTCACATGCCTTTTGCTCAAAGTTCAAGCATATTAACAATGCATGCAGGTCTCTTGGCTCTGGTTCCTGTATTTACTATCATGTTTCCTGTTCTCGTAAAACCATAATTTTGTTATATGATTACGTATCTGATAAGTTCTTTGTGTATTTAGCTGATCTTTAGTCCCCTGGTTCCCAAAGATCGCATCTTGCTATCTAGTGTTTCATTATTATGACAATATCATACGTTTGTGACAAACTTAACTAATTCTATGGATGATTGATGCAGGAGAAATATTGAGGTCTCTATGGTGATTTCGGATTCTAACCCTTGCTATGAAGACGCACATATGAGGCTTGCTGCAGTATTTTTAATGTTGTTATTGAGTACAACTGAGTGTTATGTTTGTTTCATGGTCTTTTCTTTCTTCTGTCATGATCCTGTTCATGCCTGAACATTTGAAAGATGGGAAATAAGTGGACTATGGTTGTGCTACTATTTTGTTTATAGACGAACTTACTACTCTTCTAGTTTATCAAGTAATTACGTAGATTGTCCTTACTAATCGTGATTGTGTTGCTGATAGTTATGATGGCATTTATATCAAGTTATTGATCTTATACAAATCCTTGCATACCTTGTGTTTTCTATCTTAATTCATTTAAATATTCTCTCAATTTTGTTATTATTGATCTTTTGGTTTTTGGTTTGAAAATTTGAGGTTAATTTTGCAAATGTGTGAGGTCTGTACTTTTATCCAGACTTGTAAATGGTTCAATCATGAACTTGTCTGCCTTTGTTTATCTTTGTTTATGTTCCTATCTTTGTTAGTAAATTATCAAAAACCCCCAACAAGTTTGCAAAAAGCTCCCAAAAAGTTTACAAAAAGCCCACAATAGTTTACAAAAAAAACCCTAAAAGTTTACAAAAAACACCCTAAAAGTATTATACATATATAGTTACTATAGTTAAATGGGCAAATGGGCGACCCGTTTATTAAATGGGCGGGTAAAAACCCGCCCATTTAAATAATGTTAAATGGACCATAAATGGGTAAATGGGCAAAACATGCCCGCCCATTTATGGTCCGCCCATTTAATACCCATACCCACCCATTTAACATCTCTACATTAGGGGCCTGTTTGTTTGCATGAAAGTAACTGTGAAGTAGCTGAAGTAAAAGAAGTAGAGGCTACTTCTGCTACTTCCAAACAAAAAAGTATGTTTGATTTTCTGAAAAACTTACTTTCAATACTTCCCTAAATGCTTATGTGGCGCCTACGTGTCATCTTTACTTCCAAAATATTTTTCCAATCCTCAATACTCAGAAGTAGCTCGGAAGTAGTTGAAATGCATATTAATTATGACATAAATAATTTTTTTATTAATATTTCCTTTATTAGTTACGTCTAACAACTTTTCATTGATAAAATTACTTCCTAATAATATTTCCAAATGTTATCCAAACAAAAAAAGTAAATGAAGAGGAAGAAGTTCTACTTCCATTACTTCTAAAAATATATGAAACAAACAAAAAAATGCTATTTCCACTACTTCCTACTTCATAGCTTTGAAAGTTACTTCTATAACCTACTTCTTACTTCTAATACTTCCATTATCCAAACGGGCCCTAGGGCGCGTTTGGTTCATGATTTTTTCATGGAAAGGGGAGGGGAAAGCTGACATATTGCTGACAATATGGCAGCTTTCCTCCCCCCCTTTCCATGAAAATTTTTTGAACCAAACGCGACCTTACAGCCCCAACCAAACAGATGTGCAGACAGCAACATTTACAAGCTGACAAGTACGATTATTATCATTACTCCATAAGAAGTATTCACATTTACAAGCTGACATGTATCCCAACAGATGTGCAGACAGCAACAAAGGCTTTATACTGAAATTGGAATCAGCCACACCAATCCTAGTCTTTCATTCGCTAATTAAGATAAGGGCTATGTCGTCGACAGATCAATGAATCCTATTCCGAATGTCTGAGCTTAGAAACAGAATATGAAATGGCTTAAAAAGAAAAAGCATCTATAACATGTCATGCAATTTCCTTTACCTTGTCTTCTAGGCTTTTCTCCGTTTGGATTAAACGCTACAAGTAACCCAATGCACAATGTGCATTTTATTCATAATGATCATTACTACAATAGTAAGATTGTAAGAACATATTTATTTGTTTATTGTGTGTGTACAACAAATGTTCTATGGATGAAGTTTGTTATGCAATGATCTTTATAAATGAGATTTCAAATTCTGTGAAAGACAAGAACCCCACTAGCCAATAAGACTGAAATTTCAGATCATATTAAGGGAACTATTTAACTATTTGAACCAAATCAAATACACATGAATTTCAGCATGCAAAGGAAGTATTTAATTTCCAAAGGAGCATCTGAATCCATAAACAGATTCAAATTTGAATTCAAATACGGATTCAAAAACTTCAGATTAACTCAAATATGAATACCTCAATTTTCAACAGATTCCATCCCTAAGCCTAATTTTGGGCCTTGCGAACATCTAAAATAACAAGGAATGCATTTGTGTCCAACTCTCACTCATCGATTCTGATACAAATTACTAACCCACAACGTCTATTCCTATTTTTCTTTCATGATGAATATCTATATATGTATTTCTTTCGTATCTTTTAGGCCCTCATTGTAACGTTTTTAACTTTTCTAATCAATGAAACTGTAGAGGTTAATACTCAATCCATCACACATGTTTGTAAACGCCCCCCACATAACTAATAATTGTTGTTTCTTTTATAAATCCAACACATTGTTAATCCTTCCTGTCCTAAGAAACCTACTACAATTGTAAGGAATGAAAGTCTCAAAACTGTCCCCATTTCACACTACGTACTACCTGGGCCATCATATATGTTTCTAATCACATCAATGTGACTGCTAGGATGTTTACAAATTGATTTAATAAAATGTTAATTGCATTGATAGCACCTCTGCATTAATGTTCACTGCAAATTACTTACAGAAGAATGCCCTAAGGTTGCTGCTGCTGGTTCTGCCCCTGCTGTGGCGGCGGAGGCGGCATCCCAGGCCTAGGCGGTGCAAACACCGGCACCTGCCCACCCGGCGGCGGGGCCGGCATTCCGGGCCTGGGCCCGCGCTGTCAGTGGCGCGCATTCCAGCCTCATCAAGTCTGTCCCTGCGCGCTGGTGCGTGGCCCCAATCGGCTCCCCCCATTACTGCGGGGCCGGCACCGAGTACGGCACCTGCGCGCGGCGGCCCACAGGCCTCCCCGCAAATGGCATTTGCAGTCGGCCTGCGTGGCCCCTAGGCATGGCTGCCCTGGGAATCCTGACATCTGAGGCCGGGACGCGCCATAATTGGGTGGGTAGGAATGGCGGAGCTGCCACGAGGGACCGCGAGCGCGGCGAACGACTGCTGAGGCCAGCATCATCCCAGGAGCGGGCCCACGACGCGCCGCGTGCGGCCGCCATGAAAGGCGCAGGCTGCCCTGCAACCTAGAGATGTGAGCAGTGGGCGATTCCGCGGCAATTAGCTCCGTCGGCTACGACGACCATGCGGGTGGCGCCGCTGGCGGCGCGGTAGCCACATGAGAAGCCTTTTCGGTCGCCGCGGGAGTCAGTCATCTGGTGGGGAGGTGGGCCTCGTCAGCGGCGTCATCGACGTAAGACCTCCTCGACCGCGGAGGAGACAAGAGGCAAGGGTACGGCGCGTCCTTCGCGCTCCTCGTTGGGATTGCGCGCGAATGTTAGGGTTACAGGGTCAGTGGGCGATTTCTTCGAAGGGGGGAGCTTCCCCGCAAACTTACCATCGACAGTCGTACCGAGGCCGGAGACGAGCGTTCATGCTGGGCGGGTCGAAGGCCATGAACTTCCGACGAGCTGGCGGCCATCTTGGATCGCGACGCGCATGCGGCAGTTGATGAACTGCAGCAGCTTGGAGCCCTTCGACATTTCTTGGGGGAGATTAGGGTTTTGGGGCTGAACGCTTCACAGGACCATTATGTAGGGCTAGGGTTTTAGGGATTTTGGGCAATATTCATATTGGTCCCTCACATCCTTGAAATAGCTCATACGACTGTGTTCGTTGAAATTGCTAAAAGATCCTTCTTTTATTTTTCTTGAGGGAGATCGGCTAGGGTTAGGGATTCGATGAATGTGTTTAAACTAGCGGTGATTCGATGCAAACCGATTAAACCAACCCACATCATGAAACAACGCGTTTGAAGGAGTACATGAATAAAAAAAATGATCTTTGATCAGAAATTTAAAATACTTCTCATGCAAATTGAAATTCTATGAGACTTTGGATACTAAACTTGTAGTTTTTATCTGTATCTGAACAAAAAAATCGATGAGACTTTTGACTGGGTTATTATTCACCAAATTAAGTTAAAGAGGGATCCATTGGAAAGCCCTGTCTATCTAGTTACAGCAAATCAACCCGTTTTTGGTTAGGAGTTTTCTGCTGTTTAGTTCACCCGAAAATCAAGATTCATGAACTTTGTTATTGTAGATAATGTATTAGATATGGAGAATCTTTTGTGTTAAAGGCATTGAGCCGAGAGTGTTCTTTTAAGTAGTATAAATATTCATGTTGTTTGACCCATTACAACATTAGTATTAAACATATTATTAATATATTATATATTAATTATAATAAAATATATTATAAATAAAATATTATAATATTTAGTTTACATTATTATAGTATTAGATGTATTAAATATAATGCAATATAAAATTGTATAATGTATTATAATATTATATTTTACTTAATGAGTTATATTATAAATTATAATGATTACATATTATTTTCAAATAATTATATATTTAATAATTCTGGTATATCATTTGTTATTATTATATATTATATAATTTTTTTATAATAATGTATTTATTATTATATAAAATTAAACAATTACTAATATATATAATATTATACTATTATTTATATAATATTATATTATTAATAATGTTAATTATATGTTATTATAGTATGTTAATAATAAATTAATATATTTATAAATATTTAATATTATGTAATTATATTATGGTCTTTTAATATGATAGGGTATTAATAGCAATTTAATAATATATTAATAATTTTATGATATAAATAAATATTTATTAAATTATTTTATATATTATTTTTAGTTACATTTGTTAGCATATAACTTATTTTATTTATGATATAATATATTAATATTTTATATATTATATTATATTTACTATAAAATATATTATTATAATAATATTATTATATTGTTATTTTATTTTTAAATATGTTACTATTATATAATTTTTTATAATTATTAATTTATTACAATTTATCTATTAAAAAATTAATAATATTATAGCGATTATACTATTGTGTAGTATATTATTATATCATTATTTATTATCAATAACTTTTTTATTAATTTTCATTGGTTTATTTATATTTTATTATTATTTATTATTATATAATACATTGTTAACATATTAAATACTAGTATTTAATATGTTATTATATTGTTATATAAGATATTTTATTTATTATATTTTTATATTATTTAATAAATATTACTAATATATTAGAATAACTATAGTATAGTTTAGCATAGTATAATAAGCATGTTGATAATAACTCTATATTAATTACATTTAATATATTATGTTAGATATTATATTAACACATTCTCAAACTCAAAACCAAAACACCAAACTTAAAACACCTTTTAGGTGTTTTGATATAAGTGTTGTGTTTTTGGTTTGAAGATGATTTAGCTCAAAAAACACCATGGTTTTCAAACGCATAGTGTTTTGTTTTTGGCAAAAACACCATGAACAATTAAAACACTACGGTATCCAAATGGAACCTTAATTGTAGTACCTTCTGCTGCTCAGCTGCTGTATTTTTATTTGCTATAGGGCAAACAACCTCTTTATGAAGTAATCACTCCTTTTTCTTTTTCTTTTTCTTTTTTATTTAATGAAGGCCATGGCTTATGAAGTAATCTCTCCTTTTTCTTTTTCATTTTTTTTTAAATTTAATAAAGGCCATGGCTTGACTTTAATCTGCGGTTTCCTGTGACCCAACCCCACATATTTACCACTGAGCCAGGCCTCATTAGCTAACTATATGAATAAATAACTAGCACATTGAAGATTACATAATTAAAACCATCGAAGATAATCTAATAAAATTTACAAAAGTGATGTTATTCTTCAATACACCTTATCCTAATTAAATCAAGAGTAAGTTGTATTTCTCATCTTATAACAATATTCTAGTTAACAACCTTATAGTTCCAGCTATAGTGGTTTTGGCGGTCTGATTGGTGCACTTTAGCGGGCGATTCTCCCTGCTATCGTGCTCCTCCGCCTGGATTTCAATGGCGAAGAAGAAGAAATCTGGTAGTAAGAGAGTTCAAAATAGTGAGTTGAGAGATTCTATCTTCATCTATCCTTCATCAGCTAATGCTGGAACCTCATCGATTGCTGGAAATTCCACTTCTAGTGCTGCTGCTGATTTGAATGAAACAGTAATTTCTTTGTTTCCTAAAGAAATGGAGAGTACTGGGCCTAGGGGAGCAAGGAAGAAGATGCCAATTGAGGATATCTTAGCCAGATCCAAACCATTATCTGATCCTTAGTCTCCCCAGCTAAGATCTGGTATGATGATTTCTCGTCAGCTTGGTAAATCTCCAAACTCTGTCTTATGGTCGGATGAAGTTGAAGATGAGATTGATCCAGATCTGACTGAGATTGTTGCCATAATGTTTGATTCAATACTCATTTAGATGGAAATAATAAAAATGTAGATAGCAGTATAAATCTAGAGATTGAAAGAAATGAAGATTATGTTGATAATCAAAAGAATAGTATCAGATCGACAGAAAATGAATCTGATGGCTCAAAATCTTTTGCTAGCCTATTCTCTGATAATAGAAGGCATGGAAATGGATTGTCATTAAATTTTGTGCATCTTCTCAAGTTAATACTGTCTTTTTCTCTGAGACTGAATGGAAAGAAGGAGAAGACCTTTGGAAATTTGCTTTAGTTGGTCATGTTATTGGATTAAATGTTAAATTTAAATCCATGGAAACCTATGTAAACAAGATTTGGGGAAAATTTTCTATTCTGAAAGTCTACTTGATCAAACAAGGGGTTTTCCTTTTTGAATTTCATACTAAACAACAAATGAATGAAGTTTTGGAGGCAGGTCCTTGGTTCTTTGGTTCCAGGCCATTGGTTTTGAAACCTTGGACGATTGATATTGATGTGGAAAAAATCCAGGATTGTACTTACCCAATGTGGGTTCAATTCCCTAATTTGAGGCTAAACTTATGGAGCTCTTCAGGCATTAGAAAGATTGCTAGTCTCATAGGTAACCCCATCACTACTGATAAGCTCACTGCTACGAGGCAAAGGTTATCTTATGCTAGAGTTCTATTAGAAGTTGATCTGCCTTTAAAAGAGTCTTTGCCTGATCAAATAGTTATTCAAAGTCCTGATGGGAAAAGTTATATTCAGAAAGTGGTTTATGAGGTAAAGCCAAGATGGTGTACAAATTGTAAAATGGTGGGACATGAGGTTGAGCAATGTAGAAGGTTAACAGTTAAGAAAATGTGGGTTCCAAAGCAACCTAGAAGTGTGGCTGTATCTGGAAAAGAATCTGGTGCTTCCTCTATAGAAACTAATCAGAAAGTTTTTGTAGAATCTGGGAAAAAAGCAGGGGTGCCTAAAAAACATGCACAAACAGTGCTGGAAAATGGAAAATCTGATCAACAATCTGGAGAAAAAATAGATCTGCTTGGAAAACATACACAAACAGTATTGTGCATCAATAATGGCATTACTAATCAACAGCTTGACAATGGAGTCTATATACCTGGTAAACATGTTCAATCTATGGAGTCTGGACAAATGGTGAGTTCTGGAATTCAAAATTTATCCCCTTCTATAAAAATCAGTGGATTTACAAGTGTCAACAGAAATAGTATAGCTAGAAGAACAAATCTGGGTACTGATGAACCTATATCTCATATTCAAGCTTCACAATTTTCTTTATTGGATCATCAATGTCATGAATTTGACCCCTCAAGCATTGATAGGGGAAAACCCATTCAATAAATACAATTGGTAATCTGGAATGTTAGAGGTTTAAACAAAACCTCTAAGCACATGATAGTGAAGCAAATTGTTCATGATTATAAGGTCTCATTTTTAGCCCTCCTGGAAACTAAAGTTGTTGGTGACAAGATGAAATCTATAGCAAAGAAAATGGTTAAAGATTGGGATTGGATTTCAAATGCTCAACAAGCAAGAAATGGTAGGATCTGGATTCTCTGGGATAGTGATTTCCTTTCTGTTCAGTGTATTTCTTCTTCTGATCAGTATATATCATGCACTGTTGATTCAAAAGATGACAAATTTTCTTGTATTGCCACTATAATTTATGCTCTTAATGATTAAGAAGGTAGGAAAAATCTCTGGCATGACTTGTTAGCTTTCAAACAAAGTATTAACTCTCCCTGGTTTGTGGGTGGAGATTTCAATGCTATTATTAGTAATGAAGAGAATTGGGGGCTCTCTTGTCACAGATTCAGAAACTGAGGATTTTCAAAATTTCATTACTTCATGCCAACTTCTCCACCTAAAATCTACAGGTTGTTTCTTCACTTGGTGTAATAAACAGGATGCTAACACAAGAATTTGGAGTAGGCTGGATAGAATTTTGGTAAATGAGGAGTGGATTCACCAGTATACCTCAAGTTAAGTTGACTTCCTTGTGCCAAATTTCTCTGATCATTCTCCAGCATTGCTTACAGTTAATGATGACATTTGTGAAGGCAAGAAACCTTTCAAATTTTTCAGTATATGGATTAATCACCATGAGTTTAACACAGTTGTTAATTCTATGTGGGAGCAAAATTTTAGGGGTTTCTACATGTATAGACTGTTTACTAATCTAAAAAATCTTAAGCCTGCTCTGAAAGAATTGAAT